TTGGTGGACGGCCACCCTGTTCCAACAAGGCTGTGATGTCAGCAAGGTGGTGTGGAGTCATGTTTTGGGCTGGAATCATGGGAAGAGAGTTGGTCGGCCCCTTTAGGGTCCCCGAAAGTGTAAAGATGACCTCTGCAAAGTATGTGGAGTTTCTGACTGACCAATTTCTTCCCTGGTACAGAAGGTAGAACTATGCTTTCTGTAATAAAATCATCTTCATGCATGACCATGCACAATCTCATGCTGCAAAGAATACCTCTGCATCAATGGCTGGTATGGGGATAAAAGGAGAGAAAGTTATGGTGTGACCTCCATCCTCCCCTGACCTCAATCCTATTGAGAACCTTTGGAGCATCCTCAAGCAAAAGATCTACGAGGGTGGGAGGCAGTTTACATCCAAACAGCAGCTCTGGGAGGCTATTCTGACATCTTGCAAACAAACTCAAGCAGAAACTGTCCAAAAACTCACAAGTTCAATGGATGGATCCAAGACTTGTGAAGCTGCTATCAAATAAGGGGTCCTATGTTAAAATGTAACATGACCTGTTAAAATGTTTAAAAAGTTAAAATGTTGTTATAAGTTTGATTGAAATAGCTTTGGATTTCAGTAAATATGCTGCAAACACAACAAATGACAATTTTCAGTTCTTTACAACCTATAAAGTGTAAAACTGCATAATTATTTGGAACAGTGCATTGTAAGTTTCTTATGTTTAAAAAAATACTGTTATCATTAGGAGGTTTGTTCAATAAAATTTGAATTGTACTCTTAATAGTTGATAACATTCCTCCGGAACAACGACACTCCTGGATCATGTCATACGAGGCACCAAAGTCCTGCTACATGAGCATCTGCTAATGGACTGCTGGCGCATGCTACACTACGCTGCTAAAGACTACACCTTCTACTCGACTGCACATAAATCCTATTCTCAGCTAGATTATTTCTTTATGCAACATCGAAACCTGGATAACCTCGTATCGGCGCACAGTGCACCAATTACATGGTCGGACCATGCACCGGTAATCATGTCCATGATACCCCCTGGCCCCACCCAAAAGCAATGGATATGGAGATTGAACGAGGCTCTCCTTGAAAACCCAACAATTAACGCAGACATCCTCACGAATCTGGAATAATTCTTCTTAACAAATGCTACTCCAGAAGCCAACCCATCTATGGGAATCTCACAAATGTGCGATCAGGGGTCTCTTGATCAAGCACGGATCGCACCAAAAGAAGCTCCGCACTCAAGAGATCTCAGACCTGATTACCTAAATATCGAAAATGGAATCTTTACATAAAGCCACTCTGGACAACGACACATACAAACACCTGACAGCAGTCAGAGCGAAACTACAATCATGCCTCACATCCAAGATCTAATTCCAATTTCAGCTCGCCCAGAAATCGTTCTACGAGTATGGAAATAAATGTGGCAAAATGCTCGCTATAGCTCTACGCGCCAAACGACAAATGTTCTGTACAAAAACTAAACCAAGGGGGGAGTGCCATCTG